AATCGTTATTGGTCATAGAAAAGATGTTGTTCATCGATTTTCTGATGGAGATATTTGGAATCCTAATGGCGCTTATAAAATCGTTATAATATGTTTTTTGTTTTACATCCTTATGGCGCTTATAATATGTTTTACGTATCAATGTTGTACAAATTATAGGTATAAAATTAAGTAAAAAATATAAACAAAGAGTATAAAACAAAATTCAAACATCACAAATTAGAATCGTAGTTTGATAAATGTTATGTAAATAAAAACGCACCATATACTGAAAATATACGTAGGGTAGGTAAACAACATATACAATGAATACTATATGGCAAGTAAGGAAAATAAAAAGTAATTAACCAAACAATGGCTTCTGGAAAGTAAGGAAAACAAAAACTAACTAACCAAGCAATGGCTTCATGATGTCTACAATGAAATTTCAGAAATTAACATAGCTTCAAATCATAAAGACAGTAAGCTTCATGATGTCTACAATGGTTTTGCTCATGTACAGCCACCATTATCCCATATTACAAAATCAACATATGCAAAATACATAAACCATCCAAAATAATCATCAGGTTCGCTTGACGACAACCACGCCTTTTAAGAATATGTTTTGCAAAATACATATACTTGGGTGTCTTGTTCTACAGGACATTAAAAGGGGAGACGTATCTTCCACCTTGTTCTTCAGGACTAGCACATCATGCTTGGGTCCCACAAGTGACCCGGACCAAAAGCTATCAACCCGAGTTAACTTTGAACAGAAAAAAGAGAGGGAAGGGAAAGATTCGAAGTTGCCAGGAGCAAACGCGGTCTGCGTGCGGGCCACGCCATCAGGCTCGATTGATGTCGAGGGGGGAGGGGGGAAGAAGATCTGGTGGAATCGAGGAGTGTGGGATGCTCCGTCTTTTTTTTTTTATTATTATTATAATTGCTTTCAGTTACGATAAATAAGGAATACAAATCATTTTTATTTTAGTGACTTATATTGTGCATTTTCCTATATTTGCTTTTGGCTTGGTATTAATGTAATTATTTTTGCTTGAATTGTTTATGTGCAATTATTTTCAAAACACACAGGAAGGGTGTAAATTTCCCCACATTAGGAATTTGCATCATGCACGCTTAGTTTATCTTTTTATTACATAAATAAAACAACCTATAAAATATTAGCATATTAACATAATTTACTGATTTTATTTGCATAAATACCACAAGAGATTAAATCTGGTGACATTTGGTTTATGCGTAATTAAGGGACTTATCACATTCTAAATAACTACTCCCTATTAATTAGTAAGATCTTTCTCTCACTACCAAGTCAACACATCTTCTCCATCATCTTTCTACCACAACTCGTCACTTTAACTATCTCTCATCACACTCTGAAAATCTCTCTCTCTCTCTCTCTTCTTACATTGTACTTTATCAATAAATAATTTTTTGGTACTTCGTGTTATTATGTTTATTTTGATTTCGTATGTATTGTGTGTGTATCTACATGAGCTTCTGTTAGGCGCGGCGAATGGCAACATTTTGACCGAAGTTGTGATATTTGAGCAGTGAAAAAGCATCTATGGATCCATTTCGTAATATGAGTTTCAGGTAATTATCATCGATCGATTTTTAAAGATTTTCGATTGAGTTCTTTGATTTTGTTGATATTTCCAGTTAATTTATCAGTTAATTGGGGTTGTTAATTCTTATCACCTAATCTTCGCCGCGTTGTGTTTTCTCTCACTGTTCAACGGCCTCTAGCATGGGTG